CACACACACACACACACACACACGCACACAAACACATAAACGTTGCCCTCACCAAAGAGACAGATCTTCTCTCCTGTGACAGGGTTACAACGGTAATGTCCCCTCTCGTCGTCCCGAGCCTTGCAGTATCTGTCACACTGGTTGCCGTAATAGAACATGTCACAGTAGATCCGGAGTTCAATTTTCATACTGGCGAGAGAAAGAAAGAGAGGGAGAGGAACATGAATGCTTTCAATACATACAAAACACAAGAAAAGGGAAAAAGAAATAACGCAAAAAGCTTATTATATTTAACGAAGTAAGATGTACTAAACTAAATTGTAAGAAATTTTTTAAATTCATTTTAAAACATTCTTCATGAAATTTCTTCTTGTGAGTTAATAGTTAACACTTCTTTTTCAAGGAACTCTTATGTTAAAGGGCGTATTACGTATGCACATCCATGCACATGTATTCAGTGTTAATATGTAATTACCCAGAACTATATTATTGTAGGGCTGGGTGCTACATAAATTAAAGAAATTATCTACATTATCATCATCATCATCATCATCATCATCATCATCATCATCATGATCATCATCATCATCATCATCATCATCATCATCATCATCATCATCATCATCATCTTCATCATCATCATCATCATCACCATCATCATCATCATTATGCAAAGATAAGAGTTATTTACTCAGTGGTCGTTCCTGTCAACTCCAGCCTTTTCAGTGGCGCATCGATCTGGCGCCTCATTTCTCTTGGGCGGTACTGGTAATCGAAGTGGTCGATGAAGTCATTGCTGCTGCCACCATCTGAGTCCAGAATGTCCAGTTTGATTTTGGCGACTCCCTAGAGTAATAATATTATGGAAGATTACGTTTCTGGTCAGTCATTGTATTGCATTGTGGCAGTTGTGTTATTTAACTTTAGAGCAATTTCGATTTTCAAGGAGGGGTTTTGATCGAACACAGCCTACCCCTCACTAGGGCAGAGCTACTGACTGAAGTTGTCTTTAGGCCATTCCCAAAAGGGAGGGATTAACATGTTCTCACACACAGTAGAATTGTAAATGGGCTGATTTATCAATGTCATGCTCATACTGTGCCGGAATAACATAGGTGGAACTGCTGCTTTTTCCCCCCTCATCCTTACTATCACCTTTTTTCTCTACTTCTTTTGTATATTTGTCACTTCCTTGTGAACTGCTATTTCCGGAGTGCCTTGATAGTCGAAGCAGACTTTGTGCTTTTGAGGCTGGAGAGGTGAACAGAGTAAGCCTGATTCCCCGTTTGGACTTCTCTGTTGACATCCACTCCTTGGTGCTCATATGACCTTATGAAGTTGCGAGCGCCCTAAAACCTCACTAAAGAGAAAAAGAACCCAGCCTGCCTGGACCTACTCAGGCAGTATAGGATGCACGAAAGAGGAAAGGTGGAGATACTTAAACAATACATATTCCCCGCATGTGCAGATCAAACTCACATCTTTTGCTTAAAGACGAATTGCGTCACCAGTACAACGCAGAAACTGGTCATAAAAGCTTAAATTTTCACAGGGAAGGGGGGGAGGGGTGACCTTGATAATATTGCCTAAACGAGTAAAGCAAAGATGGTTAATTAATATGTCCTGCTATGTTATTCCGGGAAGAAAGTGTTTTATGCACGAAAACATTACGTTATTACGTTAGGCCAATTATCAACTTTCTTTCAAATTTGGTTGAATGACTCAGAAAACGCCGAGCTCTTGCCGAATAACTATTTGACGCATTAAAGTCAAGCAAGGACCCAGTACATCAACTAGATAAGTCATCAAGTTTATAAAGGCACGTTTCATTCGCAATGTAGAAGCTCTGTATTTCTACTTAAGGATGAGATCTCTTGCAAAGGTGGTAACAGTAATATAGGAATAACATATTATTTTTTTCATTATTTGACAAAATAATATAATCATCATGCAATCGCCACACACACACCTACACGCACTCGCATAAACACACACATACTCTCTCTGTCTCTCTCTCTCTCTCTCTCTCTCTCTCTCTCTCTCTCTCTCTCTCTCTCTCTCTCTCTCTCTCTCTCTCTTTCACACACACACATATACATTTACACACGCACAGATACAGACAGACAGATACACACACACGCAAACATACCCACACGCACATACAACATGCATATAACGCACATATCATACAATGAGTATTTTGAAATATACACTCAAAGATGAAAACACAATTATCCCCAAAACTTAAGGATTTGATAGTCTTTCTGTTCAATAAACCAAGCAGCACACTATTAGACAAGAGACATAACTTACTGGCCAGGAATCGAAGGGTAGCATCAATGGATTTTCGATACCCCCTACGTCGCTGCCGAAAGTGATTTCGTTGGATGATATTGGCTGGGACTTATGACGTCCGTATTCGCACGCCGTCATTGCACTCGATCTGTGAACGCAAACATTACTCGAATATAACAACGACATCTTTACCTCAGATGCAGGAGAAATTGTGAAACGTATACTCTTGCGGATTCCTTGAAAACATTTTAGCAAGAGAAGCAAACCACATGAGAGCACCCGCCCATTACCCACATAGCAGTTCCATATAGGGCGAAATATTCATTTGAGTTGCTTTTTTGTGAGTCTCTTAGTCAGCAGTTTCAACAAGTTGAACCTACAAGAAAACCTTCTGGGCATGTCATGGGCCCATCCGATGTAAGGTTGGACTCAGTGACGATCATATTTTAATGGCCCTGGCTCTAATCCTCAAATGAGGTATGTCTGAACTTGGATTGTTAGGAGAGTTTTCAGTTGATCAAGGGGTTAAACCTACTTGGCTTTGTCATAAAGGTCCAGACTCTAAAGGACCTCTACATTCTAACATTATTAGAGATCTATTCTGAACGCATCACTGTCTTTCTATCCTTTCTTTAAAAATTCCTTGCCTTTCTCCTCTCGTCACTATTTGTATACGTCTGTGCATATAAGTGTGTGTGTATCGGGGTGCCTTGATCGTCGAAGCAGACTTTGTGCTTTTGAGGCTGGAGAGGTGAACAG